CTCCTGACCCCACCCCCCCCAACACTCCGTCACACCCTGACACACACACACAACACCCACACTCCATCACACCCCGACACACACACACCCCATCACTCCTGATCCCCACTCCCCCCAACACTCCGTCACACCCTGACACACACACACAACCCCCCACACACCGTCACACCCTGACACACACACCCATCACTCCTGACCCCCACCCCCCAAACACTCCGTCACACCCTGACACACACACACAACCCCCCACACACCGTCACACCCTGACACACACACACACACACATCACTCCTGACCCACACCCCCCCCAAACACTCCGTCACACCCTGACACACACACACAACCCCCCCACACACCGTCACACCCTGACACACACACACCCATCACTCCTGACCCCCCCCCCCCCCCCACACACCGTCACACCCCGACACACACACACAACCCCCCACACACCGTCACACCCTGACACACACACACCCATCACTCCTGACCCCCACCCCCCCCAACACTCCGTCACACCCTGACACACACACACAACCCCCCACACACCGTCACACCCTGACACACACACACCCATCACTCCTGACCCCCACACCCCCCCCCCCAAACACTCCGTCACACCCCGACACTCCATCACACACCCCCATCACTCCTGACCCCCACCCCCCGCCATGAACCCTGTAGTGGTCACTACAGTAGTCGTGTTACTATCAGCTCGGGTTGGCACGGTGTGGCCATCACCCACACCGTCCCTGTGGACCCCCACGCGGCTTATAGCCCTCCAGCCGTAGTCTTACACAGGGACATGGGAGTTTTCGAGTCCACACGACGTACAGCCGTTTCAATACAGCGCAACAAGACAAATGAGTGTCTATTTATGTGCGTTTCTCCCTTGTGATGGGACTTGGTGGGATGAACGTTGAGATTTAGAAGGCCCACGAGGTGATCAATAAGCTCTGGATTGCTCTGTAAATAAGTTAGAACAATTGATAAGGGGTTGACAGGTATGTAGTGGTGAGTGTAGTGATGAGTGTACTAGTGGTGAGTGTAGTGATTGGTGTACTAGTGGTGAGTGTACTAGTGGTGAGTGTAGTGGTGAGTGTATTAGTTGTGAGTGTACTAGCGGTGAGTGTACTAGTGGTGAGTGTACAAGTGGTGAGCGCAGTGGTGAGTGTACTAGCGGTGAGTGTAGTGGTGGTGATTGTCTATTTGTGTGTTTCTCCCTTGTGATAGGACTTTGTGGGATGAACGTTGAGATTTAGAAGGCCCACGAGGTGATCAATAAGCTCTGGATTGCTCTGGAAATAAGTTAGAACAATTGATAAGGGGTTGACAGGTTTGTAGTGGTGAGTGTAGTGATGAGTGTACTAGTGGTGAGTGTAGTGGTGAGTGTATTAGTTGTGAGTGTACTAGTGGTGAGTGTACTAGTGGTGAGTGTACAAGTGGTGAGCGCAGTGGTGAGTGTACTAGCGGTGAGTGTAGTGGTGGTGATTGTCTATTTGTGTGCGTTTCTCCCTTGTGATGGGACTTTGTGGGATGAACGTTGAGATTTAGAAGGCCCACGAGGTGATCAATAAGCTCTGGATTGCTCTGTAATAAGTTAGAGCACCAAACAGGACAAGGGGGTTGACAGGTTTGCAATCGGTCAGGTGGGGTCCCCCTAATATTTGATTTGTCTCGCTGTACAGTGGCACTCTCGAGGCGATCGTCGTCATCATCATCATCATCACAGATCGCGGACTCCTCTTTGCCCGAGACCACCCACACATCGCCGTGTCGCTTGTGGTCTCGGACATTTAACGCCGCGGGGGCGGAGGCTCCGGTCGTCGAGAGAACAAATCTCCTGCGGTGGTGGTCAAAGGGGGGGCCCGGCCCCCCAACTCGTAGCTTGGGGGAGGGGGGCAAGGGACCCCCCCCCCTAGCCACCTCGCTCTTGAAGCGACTGCACGAACTCCAAAGCCACTCGGCCCTGCCCCAAGTTCCCCCCCCCCCCCAAACCCTTCCATTAAGTAGCTACAAGCATACAACATTTTTTTAGGAAGTTAACTTAACTCGCTTGTCAACTCAATCAACCACCCACTGCACCACAACTCGCCCGACTCGCTCACTCGAACCCATTTCACGCGATTTAGCCACTCCTTCACTCCACCAATTCACTCCCCTGAAAAAAATACTCAGCCATGCCATCATTCACTCACTCGCACAACTCACAACAACTCACTCCTTAAACTGATCGGCCACTCATTCCCTTAATCGCTGACTTACTAACGAACTCATTCAACCATTCACTCACTCATTCACTCAAGTGCCCAATCACTCACCCCATCGCTCATTCAATTAAAAACAGACTCACTCAATCATTCACCCACTCAGTGACTCATTCAGTAACTCAACCAACCACTCACCCACCAATCCACTCACTCAGGCATATCACTCGCTCAGCCACTCACCAATGTATTCACTCTGCACCTCCGATTAACACGGTTGGTTACGAAAGTTCAACACATACACACTCACCCAGTCACTCACTCACCCGGTCACTCACTCACCCAGTCACTCACTCACCCAGTCACTCACTCACCCGGTCACTCACTCACCCGGTCACTCACCAAGCCACTCACTCACCCAGTCACTCACTCACCCGGCCACTCACTCACCCAGTTACTCACTCACCCGGCCACTCACTCACCCGGTCACTCACTCACCCAGTCACTCACTCACCCGGTCACTCACTCACCCAGTCACTCACTCACCCGGCCAGTCACTCATCCGGCCACTCACTCACCCAGTCACTCACTCACCCGGCCACTCACTCACCCGGTCACTCACTCACCCAGCTACTCACTCACCCACTCACTCACTCACGCGGCCACTCACTCACCCGGCCACTCAGTCACCCGGCCACTCAGTCACCCGGCTACTCACTCACCTGGCCACTCACTCTACCGGCCACTCACTCACCTGGTCACTCACTCACCCGGCTACTCACTCACTCACCCAATCACTCACTCTCCCGGTCACTCACTCATCCCGCTACTCACTCACCCACTCACTCAAGCGGCCACTCACTCACCTGGACACTCACTCACCTGGTCACTCACTCACCGAGCCACTAACTCATCTGGTTACTCACCTAGCCACTCACTTACCTAGCCACTCACTCACCTGGTCACTCACCTAGCCACTCATTCCCGGCCACTTACTCACCCGGCCACTCACTCACCCGGTCACTCACCTAGCCACTCACTCACCTAGCCACTCACTCACCTGGCCACTCACTGACCCGGTCACTCACTCACCCAGTCACTCACTCACCCAGTCACTCACTCACCCGGCCACTCACTCACCCGGCCACTCACTCACCCGGTCACTCCCTCACCCGGTCACTCACCCGGTCACTCCCTCACCCCGTCACTCCCTCACCCTGTCACTCCCTCACCCGGTCTCATCACTCACCCGGTCACTCACTCACCCGGTCACTCACTCACCCGGTCACTCACTCACCCGGTCACTCACTCACCCAGTCACTCACTCACCCGGTCACTCACCCAGTCACTCACCCACTCAGTCACCCAGTCACTCACTCACCCGGTCACTCACTCACCAAGTCACTCACTCACCCAATCACTCACCCAGTCACTCACTCACCCAGTCACTCACTCACCCAGTCACTCACTCACCCAGTCACTCACTCACCCACTCAATCACCTCGTCAGTAACTGAACCTAAACCCCCCATAATCCTTCCCCCACAACTCCCCCCACACCCACACGGCACTTGTCAATGACCACTCAAGACCCCCTTGCAGGAGAGGGGGTCCCTGCAATGGGGTCTGAGTCGGCCAGCCAGTCGGCCAGGGCAGGGTCGGGATAAGGGGCTTGGGTTTGTGGTTGGGGTTAAGTCACAGGAGTTGGTATTTGCGCAGTACTATTGCGGGTCAGGATATAGGAGTCAGCGTTCGTGTTAGGGGGGGTTAAGGTTAGGGTTAGAGTCGAGGCTTTGCGATGTATGAGGGGGTCAGCGTTGAGGGCTAGGGGGTCAGCGTTGAGGGCTAGGGGGTTAGCGTTGAGGGCTAGGGGGTCAGCGTTGAGGGCTAGGGGGTCAGCGTTGAGGGCTAGGGGGTCAACGTTGAGGGTTAGGGGGTCAGGGTTGATGGTTAAGGGGTCAGCGTTGAGGGTTAGGGGGTCAGCGTTGAGGGTCAGGGGGTCAGCGTTGAGGGTTAGGGGGTCAGCGTTGAGGGCTAGGGGGTCAGCGTTGTGGGGGCTAGGGGATCAGCGTTGGGGGCTAGGGGGTCAGCGTTGAGGGTTAGGGGGTCAGCGTTGAGGGCTAGGAGGTCAGCGTTGAGGGCTAGGGGGTCAGCGTTGAGGGCTAGGAGGTCAGCGTTGAGGGCTAGGGGGTCAGCGTTGAGGGCTAGGGGGTCAACGTTGAGGGCTAGGGGGTCAGCGTTGAGGGCTAGGGGGTCAGCGTTGAGGGCTAGGGGGTCAGCGTTGAGGGCTAGGGGGTCAGCGTTGAGGGTTAGGGGGTCAGCGTTGAGGGTCAGGGGGTCAGCGTTGAGGGTTAGGGGGTCAGCGTTGAGGGCTAGGGGGTCAGCGTTGAGGGCTAGGGGGTCAGCGTTGAGGGCTAGGGGGTCAGCGTTGAGGGCTAGGGGGTCAGCGTTGAGGGCTAGGGGGTCAGCGTTGAGGGCTAGGGGGTTAGCGTTGAGGGTTAGGGGGTCAGCGTTGAGGGCTAGGGGGTCAGCGTTGAGGGCTAGGGGGTTAGCGTTGAGGGTTAGGGGGTCAGCGTTGAGGGCTAGGGGGTCAGCGTTGAGGGTTAGGGGGTCAGCGTTGAGGGCTAGGGGGTCAGCGTTGAGGGTTAGGGGGTCAGCGTTGAGGGCTAGGGGGTCAGCGTTGAGGGTTAGGGGGTCAGCGTTGAGGGCTAGGGGGTCAGCGTTGAGGGCTAGGGGGTCAGCGTTGAGGGCTAGGGGGTCAGCGTTGAGGGGCCTAGACATTCGCGACCCTCACCTGAACATCGTCTGGTTGGCCCGGAGGCGCATCCTGTTCAACTGCTTCTTCATCATGTCGACGGCGGGAGGTTTCGACGAGGTGCAGACGACAACGACGAGGAGGCGGAGGAAGTTGAGGACGAGGAGGAAGATCGGAAAGAGGAGGAGGAGGATGAGGTGGTGGTGGTGGCGGCTATCGTCGCAAGAGACGCGGAGTCTTCGCGATCAACTCCACCGAAGTCGCTCTACAGCCGCAGAGGCCATCACCTCATCATCGTCGTCGCCGTCATCGCCGTCTCTCTGTCTCTCTCTCTCTCGCTGTCCCCGAGTCTCACTGTGAGCCGTGTCCCTTGATCTCTCCGACCTGTCCCACCTCCTTGTCTCCCCGTGGGCGACTCTCTCCCCTCTCTCTCTCTCACTGTCCCCGTGTCTCTCTCATTGTCTCTGGGCACCCGAGTCTCACTGTCAGCCGTGTCTCTGTTTCACTGTGTCTCCTTGTATCTCTCAATGTCCCTGTATTCGTGTCTCCACTAGTCTCGCCGTGTCTCCCCCCCCCTCTCCCCCCACCCACCGCTCTATATCTTCCCGTCTCCCCCTGGTCTCCACTAGTCTCTACCTCTCTCCTCGTGTCACACTCTGTCTCCCCGTGTCTCCCTCCGTGTTCCCGTGTCTCCTTCTGTCTCTGTCTCCCCGTGTCCCCCGCCGGGTCCCCGTATCTTCCGCCGGGTCCCCGTGTCTCCCTCCGTGTCTCTGTCTCACTCCGTGTCTCTGTCTCCCCGTGTCTCTGTCTCCCCGTGTCTCTGTCTCGCCGTGTCTCTGTCTCGCCGTGTCTCCCTCCGTGTCTCTGTCTCCCCGTGTCTCTGTCTCGCCGTGTCTCCGTCTCCCCGTGTCTCTGTCTCGCCGTGTCTCCGTCTCCCCGTGTCTCCCTCCGTGTCTCTGTCTCGCCGTGTCTCTGTTTCCCCGTGTCTCCCTCCGTGTCTCTGTCTCGCCGTGTCTCCGTCTCCCCGTGTCTCCCTCCGTGTCTCCGTCTCCCCGTGTCTCCCTCCGTGTCTCCCCCCTCCCCCCACCTTGCACCTCCCCCCACCACCCCGGACGTAGCCAGTGCGGCCCTGACGTCATCCCCGCTCGCCCTCCATCAAACTCCGCCGCCATCTTGCTAAGGGGGGGAACACAATGGAGGCGGGGGGAGGAGCCACCGCACGCCCCGCCCCTCTATAGGCCTCACGGAGTGACGCGCGATGACGTCGCCAGTAACGCCACGGAACTCAACGGCGGCGGCAGCTCCCCCCACACCCCCTGAGTAAGATGGCCGCCGCCTGCGTCAACTGTAAATGTACAAGCGGCGGCGCGCGATCGTCTAAAACAATACTTTATAAAGAAATCGATTTAAAGACAAAGACAAAGGTCCCCTCACACCCTCGCCACCACAACTCCCCCCGCCGGGTAGCCTTCGACAGACCGTGGGACAAGTGCTGTGTTTAGTGAGGTTGCGGCGCCTGCAAAGGCCGTAGCGAGGGAGGGGTGGGGTGCGTGGGAGGGGCGGGGTGCGTGGGAGGGGCGGGGTGCGTGGGAGGGGCGGGGTGCGTGGGAGGGGTGGGTGGGAGGGGTGGGCGGGGTGCGTGGGAGGGGTGCGTGGGTGGGGTGCGTGGGAGGGGTGGGTGGGAGGGGTGCGTGGGTGGGGTGGGAGGGGTGGGTGGGAGGCGTGGGCGGGGTGCGTGGGAGGGGCGGGGTGGCTCAGCACCACGCCCGGTCGCCTTTTCTTCACCCCCCCCCCACCCCCGTCGACGTTTCCGCATCGCTCCGGCCACTCGTTTTGAAGGCCGAGTCGACCTAGGGGAGACCCAGGACCGGTTCGGACACTCGCCACTGACGGCGTTTGTGGCCGTGGGCGGGGAATCAAACTCGGGCCATAGCCGGGGATGCGGGGCGCGAACCGCCGCCAACAGTTTTAAGGACAAAAGTATGGGAAGGTTCGACGTTTCGGGTGATGGACCCATTCCGTTTGTGCGACGCAACAACACTAAACACAACACTAAACACAACAACATGAAACACAACAACACTAAACACAACAATACTAGACACAACAACACTAAACACAACAACACTAAACACAACATTAAACGTAACAACACTAAACACAACACGAAACACAACAACACACAACACTAAACACAACAACACTAAACACAACAACACTAAACACAACAACATTAAACGTAACAACACTAAACACAACACGAAACACAAATATCCTGAGATACACAAATATCCCGAGATACACAAATATCCTGAGATACACAAATATATATATCCTGAGATACACAAATATATCCTGATATACACAAAGAGACCTCCACACTCAGAAACCTGTGAACCCACACAAACCCAGAGACTCGCACAGAGACCCAATAGACCTACATAGCGAGACCCATAAACTACCTAGAGACCAATTTTTGATTTAAAGCTTTCGTGACTGCAGGGATTCATATTCTTGTTTCTTTCGGTAAAGTCACCACGTAGAAGGGAAACAATAAAATAATACAAATATAAAACTATTTTCAAACTTTCTTGCTGTGGTTTTCACACCTGATGACGATTGCTTGTGTTGCAGTCGAAACGTCGTGAGAATTTTATTGTTTTATATATTTTTTTATGATTTTATTGTTTCCCTTCTACGTGGTGACTTTACCGAAAGAACCAAGCACATGAAAACCTAGAGAAGACCCTTAAACTCCCGTAGAGACCCGTGGTCTCATACAGCACTCCATAAGCTCACGTTGGGTACCAGTGGCTCAGCCATGGTTGGCATGGGCCCCGATGCAAGGAGTCAAATGCCATCCCAACAGCCCTCGTGTGCAGTTGCACCGCCCTGCGCTCTCGCTGACTGCACCGTTGGACCTGGCGCCCAACAGAAGCTGTAAACGGCTATCGCGTCTCCGGCCATAAAGGCTCCGTCGCGCGGGGCAATCGACGGGGTTGACCTTCACTCCCACAGGCACAGACGATTTCCACAGCATCCACGCCTCCCTCGTTATTGCGACGACGACGTTGTCAAAGGTCACGTTGCTCAGCAGCAGCGGCGGCGGCAGCAGCAGCAGCATCATCATCCGCAGGAGTTTCACGATCATCATCAGCAGCAGCAGCGGCAACAGCATCATCACACTCGCTAGCGTCTGTAATACGCAATGAGTTTTGGCATTCGTTGCTACACTCTTACGAATCTCTGAGCTTATGGATCTCTGTACGAGACCGCTGGTCTCTATGCGAGCTTAAAGGTCCCTCGGTATATGGTTTGTGTGGATTAACGGGTCTTTTGAGTGTGGGTCTCTATGTGTATCTCAGTATATGTATTATGTGAGCCTATGGGCCTCTGTGGTTGAGTGTATGAGTTGGTAGACTAAGCCACGTGGAACACGGAGTAAAAACCGCTGTGGTTTGCGCTCCTCAACAGAGGAGGAATAGGCTAACGACACGAACTCTCTCTGCTGAAGCACTCTGGTCGCGGATAGCAAACTTCGACATCGGCATTGAGAGCCTGAAGATGTTGCTGGCATACGCAACAAGAAGATATACGTAGGGACACGTAGAGATATATTAAGACTCATAGCGATATAGGTATAGTACATGAAAGACAAGCCACATGAGTGTGATTGTGGCCGTGAAATCTAAACTATGGACCACATAGTACGTATAGTACATTAAAGTGTGTGATTGTGACCGTGCAATCTAAACTATGGGCCACATAGTACACCTACAGGGACCCACAGAGATTCGTATAGAGACCCATAGAGATAGCACATTAAAGACAAGCCATAGCAGTGTGATTGTGGCCGTGAAATCTAAACTATGGGCCACAGAGTACACCTACAGGGACCCATAGAGATTCGTATAGAGACCCATAGAGATAGCACATTAAAGACAAGCCATAGCAGTGTGATTGTGGCCGTGAAATCTAAACTATGGGCCACATAGTACACCTACAGGGACCGACAGAGATGCGTATAGACACCCATAGAGATAGCACATTAAAGACAAGCCATAGCAGTGTGATTGTGGCCGTGAAATCTAAACTATGGGCCACATTGTACACCTACAGGGACCCACAGAGATGCGTATAGAGACCCATAGAGATAGCACATTAAAGACAAGCCATAGCAGTGTGATTGTGGCCGTGTAAGCCATGCAGTAAACCAGTGTAGTCAAACGCCCCTTCAGTGGAGAAACGGCAAAGCTGAACTCTCTCTCTGCTGAAGCCCTCTCTGATCGTGGATAGCAAACATTGACATCGGCATTTGGCTCCTGAAGATGTTGCTGGCATACGCAAGAAGAAGATATACGTAGGGACACGTGGAGACTCATAGAGATACATTAAGACCCATAAAGATACATATAGTGCATTCAAGATAAGCCACAGAAGTGTGATTCATGACCATGCAATGTAACCTATGGACCACATAGTAAACACACAGAGACCCGTAGAGATACACAGAGATAGCACATTAAAGACAAGGGGCTGTCCATAAATGACGTCACGTCATTTATTTCCCTTCTACGTGGTCACTTTACCGAAAGAACCAAGAATATGAATCCCTGCAGTTACGAAAGTTTTAAATCAAAACGTTCTACTTAATTAAATAGACGTTTTAATAAATGTTTTCTTCTACAACATCAGAGTGCAGCGCCACATTAAATACGCACTACAATGACAATAGTTTAAAGCGATTTGAAGCATGTTTTATATTTTTTTTTTTTGGGGGGGGCAGAGCTTTGTGACGTCATATTTGAGGGGAGGGTCTGACTTTTTGTGACGCCGTGTGATGAGGGGGGGGGGGTCAAAAATCGTCTAAAATCGCGTGACGTCATTTATGGACGACCCCTATGGGCAATGCACGTCGCTGGGCAATGTGAAGCTATGACTAATGGGTAAAGTTAGTTTATGGGTAAAGTGCATCAATGACGTAATGATGACGGTGGCCGGTGGGTAACGCTGCGGCGGCTGCGAGCACTGCCACGTGGAGATGAGGCTAAGCGGCTGTTGCCTTCGTTGCCATGGCAACAGCCAACGGTGATAAAGGGGCGTGGTGGTGCGAGGGGCTGGTGACCCCCTCCACCTTCAATTCTAATTACAAACAAAAAAACTCCCCCCCCCACTCCCATTGTTATCCCCACCCTCGTCACTCCTCACCCAGTCTCCCCCCCTCACCATCTCCCTTGTCTCTCTCTCTCTCTCCCCCTAAACGCTCTCCTCGTTAGTCACGTGGGCACGAACGGAGCCGGCTCGACGCTGTGGCAGGCAAGTGGCGTCATCGCGCAGGATGCGCACGGTGACGTCATCGCGCAGGAGAGCGCGGGTAACAGAGACGCGCGCGGTGACGTCATCGCTAAGGTAACGCAGAAGCACGCGGTGACGTCTTCGCGAAGGTAACGCAGGCGCACGCGGTGACGTCATCGCGCAGGAGAGCGCGAGTTACGCAGTCGCGCGCGTGACGTCATTGTCGGGCATTTGCGCGCGAGCTAGCCAGAAGCCAGCCCGCAAAGAATTGTATCTTTCGGTAAAGTCACGCAGGTTAGTAAAATAAAGCAAAATAAAAATAAGATATTATTTATTATATGTTATTAAATAAAATAAAGCAAAATAAAAACAAGACATTATTTAATATATATTATTAAATAAAATATATTAGTAATATATTATTTTTATTTTGTTTTATTTTTCTACCCACGTGGCTTTACCGAAATAACCAAAGAGTATGGATTCCTGCAGTCACGAAAGCTTCAAATCAAGATTAAAACTTGTATCGTAGTATAATGATTATGTACCTGTAAGTTATGCGTTGAGTATAACTCTACAGGGTGGTCCAGATGTCGCGTGGCACACATTTAATTATCTAAAACTTAAATAGACATTTAAGGTTTATTTAAAACATAAACGAACGTTGTAGAGCGAATAAACAAATGTTACGGATCAATTAATTGGGGGGGTCACAAGACATCTGGAGCGCCCTGTACACTACATGATAAGCTACTTCGCTGGCCAGCTCGCTTCTAAAAAATTGAAGTGAAAGCTCAGTGGACTACTTTACCTGCTAAGACAAATAGTTTAGTTGCATTTGTGTATCTGTTTACCTTTCCTAGACATTGCACTCCCATCGTGTGTTTCGTATTGCTGGTTGTTGTCACGTTCTCACCCGCCCATATTCAACACAAATAGCTTTATAGCTCATTCGATGCCTCCAGTATTAATAAATGCTGATTTAAAAAAAAAAAAAAACTAGTTTATTTGTATGTTTACCTTTCCTATACTTAGATCGTGTTTTTGTATTGTTTGTTGTAGCGTTCTAACCCCCCCCCCCCCCCCCCCCCTTTACTGGACATCAGTGCAAAAAGAGCTTTACAGCTCACCGGATTCCTCCGCAACCCATGCAAAGATGGCGGCCGCCTCGCGACTCCACTCGCCATCTTGGTACGGGCTAAGCGAGAGACGGGGGGGAGGAGAGGGGAGGAGGGGTGGAGTGTTCTCGTGACGTCACGCTTACGGCGAGTCGCGAGGGACTAAAACGCGAAACGCGTTTCCGCGTCGCACGCATGAACGCGGAAGACCCCTCCGATCACGTTTCATCCCCTACCAAAAGCGTTGCCTCCTTAAATTTTGACTTTAAATTTTCGTGACTGCAGGAATTAATATAAATAGAAAACAAAAGAATTTAAATAAAATAAAAATGATTAAATAAAAATACAATATCTCTATTTTATTTTTCTATTTACGTAACTTTACCGAAAGAACCAAGAATACGTTGCGCAACCTCCCTCTCCATCAACGTCTCGGGGGCGTCTCCGACGAAGCCCCTCCCCCCCCCCGTGTGAGTGGTTGAGCCGACGGCTCACTGTGGACTCGGGGCGCGCGAGGCGGTGCTGGTGAGGGGTGAGTGGTGAGGGGTGAGTGGTGCTGGTGAGGAGGGAGTGGTGCTGGTGAGTGGTGCTGGTGAGTGGTGCTGGTGAGGGGTGAGTGGTGAGGGGTGAGTGGTGCTGGTGAGGAGGGAGTGGTGCTGGTGAGTGGTGCTGGTGAGGGGTGAGTGGTGAGGGGTGAGTGGTGCTGGTGAGGGGTGAGTGGTGAGGGGTGAGTGGTGAGGGGTGAGTGGTGCTGGTGAGGAGGGAGTGGTACTGGTGAGTGGTGCTGGTGAGTGGTGCTGGTGAGGGGTGAGTGGTGAGGGGTGAGTGGTGCTGGTGAGGGGTGAGTGGTGAGTGGTGCTGGTGAGGGGTGAGTGGTGCTGGTGAGTGGTGAGTGGTGCTGGTGAGGGGTGAGTGGTGAGGAGTGAGTGGTGCTGGTGAGGGGTGAGTGGTGCTGGTGAGGGGTGAGTGGTGGTGGTGAGGGGTGAGTGGTGCTGGTGAGGGGTGAGTGGTGCTGGTGAGGTGTGAGTGGTGCTGGTGAGGTGTGAGTGGTGAGTGGTGCTGGTGAGGGGTGAGTGGTGCTGGTGAGTGGTGCTGGTGATTGGTGCTGGTGAGGGGTGAGTGGTGCTGGTGAGTGGTGCTGGTGAGGGGTGAGTGGTGCTGGTGAGGGGTGAGTGGTGAGGGGTGAGTGGTGCTGGTGAGGGGTGAGTGGTGCCTGTGAGGGGTGAGTGGTGCTGGTGAGGAGTGAGTGGTGCTGGTGAGGGGTGAGTGGCGCTGGTGAGGGGTGAGTGGCGCTGGTGAGGGGTGAGTGGTGCTGGTGAGGGGTGAGTGGTGCTGGTGAGGGGTGAGTGGCGCTGGTGAGGAGTGAGTGGTGCTGGTGAGGGGTGAGTGGTGCTGGTGAGGTGTGAGTGGTGCTGGTGAGGTGTGAGTGGTGAGTGGTGCTGGTGAGGGGTGAGTGGTGAGTGGTGCTGGTGAGGGGTGAGTGGTGAGGAGTGAGTGGTGCTGGTGAGGGGTGAGTGGTGCTGGTGAGTGGTGCTGGTGAGGGGTGAGTGGTGCTGGTGAGGGGTGAGTGGTGCTGGTGAGGGGTGAGTGGTGCTGGTGAGGGGTGAGTGGTGCTGGTGAGGGGTGAGTGGTGCTGGTGAGGTGTGAGTGGTGCTGGTGAGGTGTGAGTGGTGCTGGTGAGTGGTGCTGGTGAGTGGTGCTGGTGAGGGGTGAGTGGTGCTGGTGAGTGGTGCTGGTGAGGGGTGAGTGGTGCTGGTGAGGGGTGAGTGGTGCTGGTGAGGTGTGAGTGGTGCTGGTGAGGTGTGAGTGGTGCTGGTGAGTGGTGCTGGTGAGTGGTGCTGGTGAGGAGTGAGTGGTGCTGGTGAGTGGTGCTGGTGAGGGGTGAGTGTTGCTGGTGAGGAGTGAGTGGTGCTGGTGAGGAGTGAGTGGTGCTGGTGAGTGGTGCTGGTGAGGGGTGAGTGGTGCTGGTGAGGGGTGAGTGGTGCTGGTGAGGAGTGAGTGGTGCTGGTGAGGAGTGAGTGGTGCTGGTGAGTGGTGGTGGTGAGTGGTGCTGGTGAGGGGTGAGTGTTGCTGGTGAGGGGTGAGTGGTGCTGGTGAGGGATGAGTGGTGAGTGGTGCTGGTGAGTGGTGCTGGTGAGAGGTGAGTGGTGCTGGTGAGGGGTGAGTGGTGCTGGTGAGTGGTGCTGGTGAGGGGTGAGTGGTGGTGGTGAGGGGTGAGTGGTGGTGGTGAGGGGTGAGTGGTGCTGGTGAGGGGTGAGTGGTGTTCGCGAGCACGCGACACGTGGGTGGCGGTGGGCGGGCAGCACCACGCCCGGCCGTCTTTGTCTCCCCCCAGTGCTAGCGATGTTTGCTGATCACCGCGCCGGGTACTCATTTGAGGCCGAGTCGACCTAGGGGGAGGCCCAGGACCGGTTCAGAGAATAGTCACAGGTGGTGGTGGTCAGTTCCCCAGTACGAGTGGAACTAACAGTGTGACTGACAGTGTGACAGTGTAACTTACAGTGTGACTAACAGTGTGACAGTGTGACAGTGTAACTGACAGTGTGACAGTGTGACTGACAGTGCGACAGTGTGACAGTGTGACTTGACAGTGTGACAGTGTGACTAACAGTGTGACAGTGTAACTTACAGTGTGACTAACAGTGTGACAGTGTGACAGTGTAACTGACAGTGTGACAGTGTGACTGACAGTGCGACAGTGTGACAGTGTGACTGACAGTGTGACAGTGTGACTTGACAGTGTGACAGTGTGACTAACAGTGTGACAGTGTAACTTACAGTGTGACTAACAGTGTGACAGTGTGACAGTGTAACTTACAGTGTGACTAACAGTGTGACAGTGTAACTTACAGTGTGACTAAAAGTGTGACAGTGTAACTGACAGTGTGACAGTGTGACTGACAGTGCGACAGTGTGACAGTGTAACTGACAGTGTGACAGTGTAACTGACAGTGTGACAGTGTAACTGACAGTGTGACAGTGTAACAAACAGTGTGACAGTGTAACTGACAGTGTGACAGTGTAACTGACAGTGTGACAGTGTAACTGACAGTGTGACAGTGTAATTGACAGTGTGACTGTGTGACAGTGTAACTGACAGTGTGACAGTGTAACTGACAGTATGACAGTGTAACTGACAGTGTGACAGTGTAACTGACAGTATGACAGTGTAACTGACAGTGTGACATTGTAACTGACAGTGTGACAGTGTAACTGACAGTGTGACATTGTAACTGACAGTGTGACATTGTAACTGACAGTGTGACAGTGTGACAGTGTAACTGACAGTGTGACAGTGTAACTGACAGTGTGACAGTGTAACTGACAGTGTGACAGTGTGACAGTGTAACTGACAGTGTGACAGTGTAAATGACAGTGTGACAGTGTAACTGACAGTGTGACAGTGTGACTGACAGTGCGACAGTGTGACAGTGTAACTGACAGTGTGACAGTGTAACTGACAGTGTGACAGTGTAACTGACAGTGTGACAGTGTAACAAACAGTGTGACAGTGTAACTGACAGTGTGACAGTGTAACTGACAGTGTGACAGTGTAACTGACAGTGTGACAGTGTAATTGACAGTGTGACTGTGTGACAGTGTAACTGACAGTGTGACAGTGTAACTGACAGTATGACAGTGTAACTGACAGTGTGACAGTGTAACTGACAGTGTGACATTGTAACTGACAGTGTGACAGTGTAACTGACAGTGTGACATTGTAACTGACAGTGTGACATTGTAACTGACAGTGTGACAGTGTAACTGACAGTGTGACAGTGTAACTGACAGTGTGACAGTGTAACTGACAGTGTGACAGTGTGACAGTGTAACTGACAGTGTGACAGTGTAAATGACAGTGTGACAGTGTAACTGACAGTGTGACAGTGTGACAGTGTAACTGACAGTGTGACAGTGTAACTGACAGTGTGACAGTGTAACTGACAGTATGACAGTGTGACAGTGTAACTGACAGTGTGACAGTGTGACAGTTTAACTGACAGTGTGACAGTGTAACTGACAGTGTGACAGTGTAACTGACAGTGTGACAGTGTAACTGACAGTGTGACAGTGTAACTGACAGTGTGACTGTGTAACTGACAGTGTGACAGTGTAACAAACAGTGTGACAGTGTAACTGACAGTGTGACAGTGTAACTGACAGTGTGACAGTGTAACTGACAGTGTGACTGTGTAACTGACAGTGTGACAGTGTAACTGACAGTGTGACAGTGTAACTGACAGTGTGACAGTGTAATTGACAGTGTGACAGTGTGACAGTGTAACTGACAGTGTGACAGTGTAACTGACAGTGTGACTGTGTAACTGACAGTGTGACAGTGTAACTGACAGTGTGACAGTGTAACTGACAGTGTGACAGTGTAATTGACAGTGTGACAGTGTAACTGACAGTGTGACAGTGTGACAGTGTAACTGACAGTGTGACAGTGTAACTGACAGTGTGACTGTGTAACTGACAGTGTAACTGACAGTGTGACAGTGTAATTGACAGTGTGACAGTGTAACTGACAGTGTAACTGACAGTGTAACTGACAGTGTGACATTGTAACTGACAGCGGTGTGAGGGTTAAGACGCCGTTGCGTTCCTTTTGTGCGTCCGGTAGCCGAGCGCTCTCGGCTATACGGGCCGGGGGAAGGAGACACCGAGCCTGATCCGACGGAGATAGAGAGAGGGTCGGAGCCTGAGGAGATGGAGCGAGGGACGGATCCGGTGGAGATGGAGCGAGGGACGGATCCGGTGGAGATGGAGCGAGGGAAGGAGCCGGAGGAGATGGAGCGAGGGACGGATCCGGAGGAGATGGAGCGCGGGACGGATCCGGCGGAGATGGAGCGAGGGACGGATCCGGCGGAGATGGAGCAGCGGCGGGAGGAGGATCCGGCGGGGGAATGGGGCGTGCGGCCGCGTCACCGCGTGTGCATGGTGTCCGACTTCTTCTACCCCAACATGGGTGGCGTGGAGACCCACGTGTACCAGCTGGCTCAGTGCCTCCTGCAGCGTGGCCACAGCGTCACCGTGGTCACGCACGCCTACGGGGATCGCACCGGCGTGCGCCTGCTCACTGGCGGCCTCAAGGTGGATCGTCACGTCCCGGATTCATGGCCTGCCCGGCTGGCTTCTCCGTTGGCCGCCGCTCGTCCCTCTCGCCGCCCCCTCCACCGCTTCCCATCCCTCCCGACGTAGCCCCCTCCCGTGATCCCAGCGTGCCCCTCCATCGCCGTCATTCGTTCCTCAACACCTTGCGTGGCCGGCCGGGCCAATCGGAGGCGCGGGGGTTTGGCAGGGCAGCAAACTAAGCACAACGACAAGCGGTCCTGAAGAAATGAGTTTGTCCGTCTAGATGATGATGATGATTTAAAAGTTGCGCAGCTCCAGTGGCTTCCTAATCTCGGAAGGGAAGAGCGTTCCAGACGGCCGCATGCTCACGGCCATGTGAATCACTCTTTTTGTCAGCCGTGTCGTGCGCCGCAAGTGAAGGCTGCTCCGCCTGTACAAGGGCTGAGGAGGGCTGAGTGGGGGTCACTGCCTCGCAGTGTGTGCGCGGTAACAGCTCCTTCTCGACGCCCCCACGTATCATCTCCCCACGTATCATCTCCCCACGTATCATCTCCCCACGTATCATCTCCCCACGCATCCCCACGTATCTCCCCCGCGTATCTCCCCCACGTATCATCTCCCCACGTATCATCTCCCCGCGTATCATCTCCCCACGCATCCCCACGTATCTCCCCCGCGTATCTCCCCCACGTATCTCCCCCACGTATCATCTCCCCACGTATCATCTCCCCCCGTATCATCTCCCCACGCATCCCCACGTATCTCCCCACGCATCCCCGCGTATCTCCCCCGCGTATCTCCCCCACGTATCTCCCCCGCGTATCATCTCCCCACGTATCATCTCCCCGCGTATCATCTCCCCACGCATCCCCGCGTATCTCCCCCGCGTATATCCCCCACATTTCATCTCCCGCGTATCATCTCCCCACGTATCATCTCCCCACGCATCCCCGCGTATCTCCCCCGCGTATCCCCCCCCCCACCGCGTATCGTCTCCCCCGTGCATCGCTCTCCCCGCGCACCTCCCCCGCCTATCACCTGCCTCCCCCCACCTCCCCGGCTGAACCCACAGGTGTACTACCTGCCCCTGCGGCCGTTCTACAACGAGGCCACCCCTCCCGCCATCTACCTGAGCCTGCCGCTGCTGCGCTGCGTGTTCGTGCGCGAGCGTGTCACGCTGGTGCACGCCCACTCGGCCTTCTCGTGCCTGGCGCACGACGCCCTCTTCCACGCCAAGGCCATGGGCCTCCGCACCGTCTTCACCGACCACTCGCTCTTCGGCTTCGCCGACGCGAGCTCGGTGCTCACCAACAAGCTGCTGTGCGTGTCGCTGTGCGACGTGACACGTGCCGTCTGCGTGTCGCACACGGGCCGCGAGAACACGGCGCTGCGGGCGGGCCTGGCGCCACACCGCGTCTCCGTGGTGCCCAACGCCGTCGACACCACGAGGTTCCGCCCGCCCGAGTGGCCCAGGAGGGCGGCCGCCGGTGGACGGGGGCCGGGCACCGTGGGCAGCCGCAGGCCCGGACGCATCACCGTGGTGGTGGTCAGCCGATTGGTTTACCGCAAAGGTGGGTGGGGGGTGGGGGGAAGGGACGTTGGGATTTGGCCGAGAGGAAACGTTCGGAGAGTTGGGAGGTGTCCGCTGGTTCATGAATGAAAATCAGTGACGTTGATTCGAGTCGTGGGAATTCTTTGCGAAGGGTCCTGCTGCCGCCGCCGCCGCCGCCGCTGCTGCGTGGAGTTTTTTTTTATTTTAAGAAGTTTTCCGTCAATTGATGATGAGTTGTGTTTTTTTTTAATCTATTTTTATTGTACACGTGGCAAATATATGGACCGGTTCTGGGCCTCCCCTAGGTCCACTCAGGCTTAAAAAAGTAGTACCTGGTGCAGAACCGGGGGAGACAAAGGCGGCCGGGTGTGGCACATAAGTGCCGCTCACTAGCAGCACTTGCCCCCACAGTCTGTTAAAGGCTATACGGGGGACCTTTGTCCTTGTGCAGGGAGCGGTAGTGCAGCGGTTCAATTCCCTCTCACGGCCAACACCGGTGACGGCGATCTGAACCGGTCTTGGACCTCCCCTAGGTCGACTCGGCCTCAAACGAGCTCCCGGTGCGGTGTGTAAACATCGCCACTCGGGGGAGACAGAGGCGGGCGGGCCTGCGTGGCGCTGGCCGCTGGTGAGCAGCGCTTGCCCCGGCGGTCCGTGGAAGGCCACGCGGGTCGGGGACGCCGTTTGTCTCTTGCGCGGCAGGGATCGATCTGCTGGCCGGCATCATCCCGGAATTGACGGCGCTCCACCCGGACCTCCACTTCCTGGTGGGCGGAGAGGGCCCCAAGCGGCTCGTGCTGGAGGAGCTGCGGGAGCACTACCGCCTCCACGACAGGCAACCGGCTCGCGCAGAGACAAAGACGGCCCACCCTCCCCGTGGTAGCCTTAACGGACTGTTGGGGCGAGCGCTGTTGTTAGCGGGCAGCAGCAGCAGCAGCAGCAGTGAAGGCCGGCACGGTGCATGAGGGGCGGTTGGTGGCGGGCAGCGCCGTGCCCGGCCGCGTCCCTTTGTCACCCCGGTTTGGTTTTCGTTTCCTACACACCGCACCGGGTCTTCGTTATTGGCTGAGTCGACCTAGGGGAGGCACAGGGTCCGATTCGGATAATCGTCACCGGTGTTGGTGGTGGGCGTGAGCGGGAGTCGAACTCGGGTCGCCGGGTTCGTAGGGCAGCGCTAAGCGCTCCAGCTCGTGGTGACCATCTGAGATTTGAACCTCGCAGCTCTGCGGTCTGTGGTCCATCGGCCTAGAACTCGCCTACCCACTCACTCGCTCACCTATTCACTCACCCACCCACTCACCTACTCAGCGGTCCGTGAGCCTGGAACTCACCTACCCACTCACCTACTCACTCGCTCTCCCACCCACTCACCTACTCAGCGGTCCGTCAGCCTAGAAATCACCTACCCACTCACTCACCTACCCACTCACCTACTCACTCGCTCACCCACCCACTCACCTGCTCAGCTGTCCATCAGCCTAGAAATCACCTACCCACTCACTCACCTGCTCACTCGCTCACCTATTCACTCACCCACTCACCTACTCAGTGGTCCGCCAGCCTGGAACTCACCTACCCACTCACTCACCTACCCACTCACTCACCTACCCACTCACTCACCTACCCACTCACTCACCTACCCACTCACCTACTCACTCACTCACCTACCCAACACCTACTCACTCGCTCACCATTTGTGATGGCCAGGTCGCTTCTGACAAAGAGCTGCGTAGTGGGGCCTTACCTGGTGAAATAATTTCTGTTTTAGATTGATCAGAGTTGCACATTTTACTTCAGAATCAGCATCTCTATTTATACTGGAGGAATCCGATGAGCTATAAAGCTAGATGTCGCCCCCCATCCATACGTATATCAGAAGTGGACCTTACCTGCTAAGTTAAAACAATAGTTTAGTTTGAGTTGAGACGAAAATTCATAGTTTAATCCATCACAGATGTGATGTCACCGCTCACTTGCTGTGCAATAGATTATATCCATTATCCCCCCCCCCCCCCCCAAAATATAAAAGTCTATTTTTATACATTTTACATTGTGTGCACTATGGAAGCTACCCACATGCCAAATTTAAAGTTTGTTGCATGTTGGGAAGTATGTTAAACATTTTGAACAGACACACATATTCACAAATTTCCCTTATATAGATTAATCGGAGTGATCAGAGTTGAATCATTGTACTTCCTGCCGCTCCCCACCCATACACGTACACCCACTGAGCTCTATAGCTCAGTGGGCCTTACCCTGGCAGGCAGAAAGTTAATGAATGGTTTTAAAAATAGTCTCGTTTAGTTTTCTTCGAGTTACAAGAGTTGCACATTGTACTTAAGAATCTGAATCTTTGTTTCCACTGGAGGTATCCGACGAGCTATAAAGCTCTTTTTCACGTGGACTTCCACCCCCGTGCTGCTGCAGGGTGCAGCTGCTGGGTGCGCTGAAGCACGGGCAGGTGCGTGATGTCATGGTGCAGGGAGACATCTTCCTGAACCCCTCGCTCACGGAGGCCTTCTGCATGGCCATCGTGGAGGCCGCCAGCTGTGGCCTGCAGGTGGGGCTCGCCGCTCGCCGCTCGCCGCTCGCCGCTCGCCAAACAAACACTCCCACTTGCGTACGGTCGCTCAGAAATATTTGTGCTCGTCCCTCACACGCACACTCACACCGTCGCTCGCACGCTCACCGCTCACACGCACACTCACACCCTCACACTCACCGCTCACACGCACACTCACCGCTCACACTCACACCGTCGCTCGCACGCTCACCGCTCACACGCACACACACACCCTCACACTCACCGCTCACACGCACACTCACACCCTCACACGCACACCGTCGCTCGCACGCTCACCGCTCACGCGCACACTCACACCCTCACACTCACCGCTCACACGCACACTCACACCCTCACACACACACTCACACCCTCACACTCACCGCTCACACTCACCGCTCACACGCACACTCACCGCTCACACATACACTCACCGTTCACACTCACACCCTCACACTCACCGCTCACATGCACACACACACCCTCACACTCACCACTCACACGCACGCTAACCGCTCACACGCACACACACACCCTCACACTCACCGCTCACACGCATGCTAACCGCTCACACGCACACTCACACCCTCACACTCACCGCTCACACGTACAGTCACACCCTCACACTCACCGCTCACACGTACACTCACACCCTCACACTCACCGCACACTCACCGCTCACACGCACACTCACACCCTCACACTCACTGCTCACTCGCACACTCACACCCTCACAGTCACCGCTCACTAAACTCACCCTCAACTCTCACCCTCGAACTAACTGAGCCGCGGACAAACCCGAGTTTCGGGTTTGTCGTCGGGACCTCATCCCAGGGTTACCGGGCCGCCCCTGTCCGTGTGACCCCACGTGACCCGGTGCCGCCCCTGTCCGTGTGACCCCACGTGACCCGGTGCCACCCCTGTCCATGTGACCCCACGTGACCCGGTGCCGCCCCTGTCCGTGTGACCCCACGTGACCCGGTGCCGCCCCTGTCCGTGTGACCCCACGTGACCCGGTGCCGCCCCTGTCCGTGTGACCCCACGTGACCCGGTGCCGCCCCTGTCCGTGTGACCCCACGTGACCCGGTGCCGCCCCTGTCCGTGTGACCCCACGTGACCCGGTGCCGCCCCTGTCCGTGTGACCCCACGTGACCCGGTGCCGCCCCCCCCCCCCCCCCGTGCCCAGGTGGTGAGCACGCGTGTCGGGGGGATTCCGGAGGTGATGCCGGAGGACCTGATGGTGCTCTGCGAGCCGAGCGTGCGGGCGCTGGCGCTGGGCGTGGAGCAGGCGGTGGAGCGGGTGCGTCGCGGCGCCGTGCCGCACCCGGCCACCACGCACGAGCGCGTGGCGCGGCTCTACGACTGGCGCGACGTGGCGCGTCGCACTGAGAAGGTGAGGTGGCGACGACGGTGGTGGTGGAGGTGGTGGAGGTGGTGGTGTCGATGCGGTGGAGCGGCGGTGGAGCAGGTTATTCCTTAACAGCTGCGCTACGAAACCCGGCAACCCGATTTCGATTCCCGCTCACGGTCAAAACCGGTGACGATTGTCCGAACCGATCTTGGGCTCTCCCCTGGCGCGGCGCGCAGTAAACATCGCCACTGGGGGGACAAAAAGCCGGCCGGGCGTGGGGCTGGCCACCCGCCTCCTCGCGCGCCGTGCCGGCCTTCGCGGGCCCTGCCGCTCGCCCCAACGGCGCTCGCCCCAACGCTCCGTTACGGTCCACGCGGTGGCGGGTGATCTTCGTGTTTCGGCGGTGTTGATGCGAACGGCGCACCGTGCTGCGCCTCCCCCTGACCCCTGACCCCTGACCTCCCGCTCCCCGCCAGGTGTACGACGCCGCGGCACGCGACGCGGCGCTGCCCCTGGGCGAGCGAGTGGAGCGGCTGCTGGCGCGGTGCGGCCCCTTCGCCGGCCTCGTCTTCGGCTTCATGGCGCTCCTCGACGTGGTGCTCCTCTTCCTGCTCGACCTCCTCTACCCGCGGCACCTCATCGACGCCGCGCCCGACACCGCGCCCCTCCGGACGGGGGGGGGAGGAGGAGGAGGGGTGGTGGCGGGGGGGGGGGGGGGGGGGTGGAGGGGAGGGGCCGCGGCGAGGGATCGCCGCCGCGGAACCGGCGGAGGGCGGCGAGAGGTCGTGACCCCCCCGGGGAGGGCGGCCGCGAGAGGTCGTGACCCCCCCGGGGAGGGCGGCGAGAGGTCGTGACCCCCCCCGGGGAGGGCGGCCGCGAGAGGTCGTGACCCTGGGCATGACCGGCGCGGGTTCGCCACTTGTGGTGGCGGCGGGGTTAAGTGCGGGTGCCCCCCACCCCCCCCCCCCCACCCCCTTCTTCTGAGCGGTCTGAGCCGGCGTGGAAGAATCGGAATGTTTATTCAGACTGGAAGAATCTGATGAGCTACGAAGCTCTTTGGCACGAATGTCAACGGTCGGCCAGTACGCGGCGCGCCCCGGCGGAGCGGCCTCTCTCTCCGGAGGGCCCTCGCTCCCTCGCTCCCTCCCACCAGCAGTGCGGTGAGCGGGCACTTGCAGGGCCGCGCCTGCAACCTTTAGGAACAAGGGGAGCTTTGTGTTTTGCACTCCGGGGTTAGTTTTTGTTGTTGTTGTTATGCAAATTATTACTTGACCAAATTCTCCGTACCCCTACCCCCCCCTCCCCCCCCCCCCCCCCCCCGTGATTTTCAGCAAAAGTTCGGGATACGTCGTCGTATATTCAGGTCGCAGTGCGTGTGTGGGCGTGTGTGAGCGTGTGGGCGTGTCAGCGTGTGTGTGGGCGTGTTTGTGAGCGTGTGGGCGTGTTTGTGGGCGTGTGTGTGGGCGTGTATGTGAGCGTGTGTGTGAGCTTATATGTGAGCGTGTCAGCGTGTATGTGAGCGTGTGTGTGAGCGTGTATGTGAGCGTGTGTGTGAGCGTGTATGTGAGCGTGTACGTGAGCGTGTGTGTGAGCGTGTATGTGAGCGTGTGTGTGAGCGTGTATGTGAGCGTGCGTGTGTGTGAGCGTGTCAGCGTGTATGTGAGCGTGTATGTGAGCGTGTCAGCATGTATGTGAGCGTGTATGTGAGCGTGTCAGCGTGTATGTGAGCGTGTATGTGAGCATGTGAGCATGTATGCGAGTGTGTGCGTGAGCGTGTGTGTGAGCGCGTGTGAGTGTATGTGTGACTGTGTGTGAGCGTGTGTGTGAGTGTGAGCGTGTGTGTGACCGTGTGTGTGAGCGTGACCGTGTGTGACTGTGTGAGAGTTTGGAGTGTGGCGGTTAACTACACTGAACACGCTGAGTGTGTGAGAGTGAGTGTGTGTTAGTGTGAGTGAGTGTGTGTTAGTGTGTTGCGCCTACAGTCTGTTAAGGCTATATGGGGGTCTTTGTTAGTGAGTGTTAGCGTGTGTGATTGACTGTGCGTGTTAGAGTGTGCGTGTGGAGCGGTGGCGTAGCAGTTAGCGCTACGAACCCTGGCCACCCGGGTTCGATTCCCGCTCAGGGCCAGTAACAGTGGCGAATATCTGAACCGGTCCTGGACCTCCCCTAGGTCGACTCAGCCTCAAATGAGTACCTCGTGCGGTGTGTAGTAAACATCGCCACTGGGGAGACAAAGGCGGCCGGGCGTGGTGCTGACCACCCACCCCCTCGTGGGTCGTGCCAGTCTTCATCGGTTCTCACTAACAGCACTTGCCCCAACAGTCTGGTGAAGGCTACAGGGGGGATCTTTGTCTTTGTGTGGGACATCTCCGTCGGTCAAGCCGTGGCACCTGCTGGGTCTGTTCCGCGACCTCCTGCCAGCACCTAGCCTGGCACAGGCGCCGTGATGACGTCGCCGGCACTTAGTGGCGAACGGCGGCTGCCGCTGCTGCCGCTGCCGTTGTGTTGGTGGAGAGCGGTGGCGCCGCGGTTAGCGCACCGTGCTACGAACCACTACCACCCGAGGACGTTTCCCAGGCGACGCGCCGAGCCCGCTCCCCCCCCCCCCCTGCTCCGTTCCCTCGGGGTCACGCTCAGAATCGGAATCTTTTATTCATCCCGGAGAAATCCGATAAGCTACGAAGCTCTTTCTCGCGGACGCCCGAAGTTGCCGTCGGGGCGAGTTTGCCCGCGGTGCCGCGCGTGCAGTAACGGGCGTTCGTTATCGTTTCAGGGTTGTTGTTGTTGTTGTTGATTTCCAGAGTTGTTTATTTTGTATTTGTACCTCAACCAATCAAGACGAGCGGATATCCCACTCCCCGGTGGCTATGAGATGTTGAGTACCTCGCCTGGTGTGCAGGAGGTCGTGGGTTCGATCCCGACCCAGACGCAGTATATTTGGAGTTGGCGTGTCTCTATCATCATCATCACGGTGGCTATGAGATGTTGACTACCTCGCCTGGTATGCAGGAGGTCGTGGGTTCGATCCCGACCCTGACGCTTGCAGTATATTTGGAGTTAGCGTGTCTCTATCATCACGGTGGCTATGAGATGTTAACTACCGCGCCTGGTATGCAGGAGGTCGTGGGTTCGATCCCGACCCTGACGCTTGCAGTATATTTGGAGTTAGCGTGTCTCTATCATCACGGTGGCTATGAGATTTTAACTACCGCGCCTGGTATGCAGGAGGTCGTGGGTTCGATCCCGACCCTGACGCCTGCTGCTGCTGCTGTATATTTGGGGTCTGCGTCTCTCTCCCCGTGGTCGCGTGTATGGCGGTGATGACCCCTCTCTCCCATCTCGTCCGCCCTCGTCCGTCCCCGGGACTCGCTCGCACGTTCCGAGACGCGGATACCAACGTTCCGTGAGCAGCCCCCATCAAACCCCTCCCTCCTGCCGTGTGCCAGTGGGCGTGTCAGTGTATTGTGGGCACTGGAGAGACAAAGGCGGCCGGGTGTGGTGCTGGCCACCCACCCCCTCAATCCGGCTTTCGTAGTAGATGCTACTTGCCCGCCCACGTTAAAGGCTATACGGGGGATCCTTGTCTTTGTGAGTTGGCACAGTGGGGAGCACAGGTGGTGCGTCTCGCCAGCCATCTCGGGCAGTCAACCCAAGACTTTGACACTTCACGTGCTGGCCTCAAAGTGCACATAGCCTGGCACAGGCGCTGTGGTGACGTCCCCGCGCCAATTAGTGGCCAACGGGGGTTGTTAATTTTGATGTTGGTTGTGATGGTGGTGGTGATGGCGGTGCGAGGCTAAGTGCATCTTGCATTGGAATGTCTGTAGAGGTGGGGTCACAACATCACGATTAACATCACCACCATCAACATCACCCTCTTCGAGTGAGAGGTGCTGATGATACAGTATTCCATACAATTACCTATGATACATACTGAATGGTTAAAACCACTTTCAGAGTTTTACTCCAATTGAACCGATGGGATTTATGCGAAGAAAGAATAATAAAAAAATATGTACTCTGTGATTTCCTCGGTGGCTGCGATATTTCGAGGTGTCTCTCAGCTCTGCCGGGCGCCCTCCGGGAGTTGTTGGCAAGATGTCCGACGTTCCATTCCACCCGTGATTAGGACCTTCTGCGGAGAACTGTCATTTTTCTTGGTCGAGTCAAACCAAATCAGTCGAGTTGAGACGAACACAATCCGACTCCGCGCGCTCGTCAACAATGCCGTGCGTGCGTGCGTGACATTAGTGGACAAATATAACAGGAGACGTTTCGGACGATCACCCTTCTTCATGTGGTATGAAGAAGCGGGATTGGCCACTTTAATGAAACGAATATAAACGTGTTGAGTGCAGTAACCACTGCACCACCGCTCCAACCGAACCAATCCTGTCAATAATCCTAGAGCCACAGGACGTAACACTGCAAACTCCAGCCCCAAACCTAACCCCGGCCACAACCCCAACCCTGACCTCAACTCTGACCTCAACTCTGACCTCAAGCTTGGTTCTAGACCTAACCATGACCCTTGACCACAACCCCAACCCTGACCTCAACCCTGACCTCAAGCTTGGTTCTAGACCTAACCATGACCCCGGCCACAACCCCAACCCTGACCTCCACCCTGACCTCAACCCTGACCTCAAGCTTGGTTCTAGACCCAACCCTGACCTCAAGCTTGGTTCTAGACCTAACCATGACCCCGGCCACAACCCCAACCCTGACCTCAACTCTGGCCTCAAGTTTGGTTCTAGACCCAACCCTTGACCACAACCCCAACCCTGACCCCAACCCTGACCTCAAGCTTGGTTCTAGACCTAACCATGACCCTTGACCACAACCCCAACCCTGACCTCAGCCCTGACCTCAAGCTTGGTTCTAGACCTAACCATGACCCCGGCCACAACCCTAACCCTGACCTCAACTCTGACCTCAAGCTTGGTTCTAGACCCAACCCTGACCCTTGACCACAACCCTAACCCTGACCTCAACTCTGACCTCAAGCTTGGTTCTAGACCTAACCATGACCCCGCCACAACCCTAACCCCGACCCAAAACCCTGACCTCAACAATGACCTCCCCCATGGCTCCAGGCCCAACCCTCACCCTGGCCCCAACCCAGCCCTGACCCGGACTCGTCTTGGGTTTCTCGCGCCAATCACCCCGAGCAGACACCTTCACATAATGTACAGAGACAAAAAAAAACACAAAGATCCCACGTGTAGCCACACGGATTTGTAGGGGAAAAGTGCCGTTTAGAGAGCACCCATTAAGACTAGCACGGCTCATTCTGGGGTGGTGTGGTCGGCACCACACCTCGGCCGCCTTTGACTCCCCAGTGCCAATGCTTCACACCGTAACAGGAAAACATGTTCAGTTGAGTTGATCTACGGGAGGCCCAGGCCAGGTTCATATTGCACTGAATTGCGAGTGCGGGAACCGCTGCTTCGCGCACTCGCACACACAAAGTCAAAGGTTCCCCCGTGTAGCCTTTTAACGGAATGATGGGGCGAGTGCTGTTAGCGAGCGCCCATCAAGGCCGGCACGGCGCACGATGGGGTCGGTGTTCACGAGTCGACGTAGGGGAGACCCAGGACCGCATCCGATTTTCGTCACCGATGTTGGCTGTGCAGCGGGAATCGAACTCAGGTCGCCGGGTTCCTCGCCCTAACCATTGTGCCACCGCTCCCCATGTACACACAGATTCCCACATTTACAGACCCACACACACGTAGCCACACACGTAGCTACACACATTCACGCGTGAACACACATTTACGCTCGCGCTCACACCCACTCGCTCACAAACTCACCCACCCATCCACACACTCGTGCACGCACCCACTCACTCACCCACCCACTCACTACCCCATCCACCCACGCACCCACTCACCCACCGACTCACACACCCACTCACTCACCCAATCAATCACAAACTCGCCCACTCACAAACTCGCCCACCCACACACACCCACTCACTCCCCCACCCACACACCCACTCACACACTCGCCCACCCACCCACATACACCCAATCACTCCCGCACCCACACACCCACCCACTCACGCACTCGCCCACTCACACACTGGCCCATCCACCCACTCACACACCCACCCACACGCCTACCCACTCATGCACTCGCCCACCCACCCACCCACTCACACACTGGCCCACCCACTCACTCACGCACCCACTCACCCACCCACTCACCCACCCACTCACCCACCCACTCACCCACTCACCCGCCCGCTCGCCCACTCACCCGCCCGCTCGCCCACTCACCCGCCCGCCCGCCCGCCCACTCACCCACCCGCCCACACACCCACCCACTCACCCACCCACTTATGAACACCCCCGCAGCACAGCCACTCGCATCACGCATCCCTTCCCGACGCCTCCACGCCGCTGCCTCTCGCTGGGTGGGGGGTTCGGCTCTACCGGGGACCCCCGTCCCGGGCACCCCCTTCGCGGACGCTCCCGTCGCGGCCACCCGGCGCCGCTCCACCGCCCGAGTCCGTGTCGTCGCTCGGCGCCGACGACAGCGGCCGGGCCCGGCGTGCGGGCCGTGAGAGGCCCTCGAACATCGTGGCGATGCTCCTCACCGTGCCCCGCGAGCCCCGCCTGTCGTGGCCGCACCCCGCGCTCTCCTCCCCGCTGCCGCCCGTCGAGTCGGCGGGCGGCTCCGCCGTCTGACACCGCCGCCTCCTCCTGCCGGCTTCCCAGACGCGCTCGCCTCCTCCTCCTCCTCCCCCTCCTTCTTCTTCGTCTTCTCCTGCGTCACCTCCTCCTCCTCCTCCTCCTCGTCGCCGTCGTCGTCGTACCGAGTCATCCTCCCCCTCCTCGCTCTCCCTGCGCGCGGCCCTCGCCGCGAGCCGCTCCCTCGGGCCCCGGGGCGCCGCGGGCCGAGTGGAGGCGCTGTCCAGGCCGCTGCGGGACCCGGCGCCGGCCCGGACGCGGGACGCCCCTGCCCTGTCCGTCCTGGGGCTGTCCACGGCGCTGCTCATGGCCCCTGCCCTGTCCGTCCTGGGGCTGTCCACGGCGCTGCTCATGGCCCCTGCCCTGTCCGTCCTGGGGCTGTCCACGGCGCTGCTCATGGTCCATGTCCTGTCCGTCCTGGAGCTGCCCACGGTGCTCAGTGTCCATGTCCTGTCCGTCCTGGGGCTGTCCACGGTGCTGAAACTCCGGGCGCTGTCCACGGTGCTGAAGTTGACGGCGCCGAGGAGGAGGCTCGGAACCCTTGCGGCCTCCGCCCTGGGCCCGCAGGCGCCGCCCTCCCCGTCGGGCCCCTCCGCCGGCCCGGCCCCTTCCCGCTGGGCGCCCGCCGTGCCCCGCCTCTCCAGCGACGCCCTCTCGTAGCGCTGTTTGGTGCGCCTGATGGCCTGGTGCACCATGCCGGCAGTGAGCACGGCGGAGCCCGCCGCACGCGCCTCCTCGGCCTCTCGGCTCCACCGCGAGGAAGCCGCCGGCTCCTCCTCCTCCTCCGGTCCCCCGCGGCCGCCCCGGGCCCACGCGGCCGAGGGAGGCTCCGCGCTCCCGGCCGCCGGGTGGCGCCGTGCGGCGGGGCCCTCCCGGACGCTGCCGCCCTCCCGGGCGAGGCGAGAGGCGGCCCCGTGTCCGTCCAGGAGGTTGGGATCGGAGAGCACCTTGGTGAGCAGCGTGGAGGCGCGCCGGCGCCGCGACTGCACGGACGAGCGCACGAGGCCCTCGTAGTAGAGGTCGGCCGCCGACTGGCGGCGCGGGAAGGCGCCGGGCCTCTCGGGCGCGCCGCCGCCGCCGCCGCCCCGCACGAACTCCTCGTCCGACTCGCACAGCGTCCCCTCGCTGCGCGCCGCCTGCAGCCGCGGGGTCCTGGAGCTCGGCGCGTCCCCGCGGGACCCCGCCGGGGTCCCCGCGGTCCCGCGCCCGGCGGCGCAACGCGGCGCGAAGCGCGAGCGGGTCTCCGTGTGGCGCGGCCTCGTGGCGGCGGTCGTGGCCTCCTCGTGCCGCTGCTGCTGCTGCTGCTGCTGCTGCTGCGGCGGCCTCGCTGGGGCCAGGGGAGCCGGGCCGGCCACCTCCGTGGGAGAGCGCAGCTCGCCGAGGCTCCGCGACAGTTTGGGGTCCTTGGGAGGGGCGGCGGCCGCCTCGGTCTCGATCCAGCGGCCCGTGTCGTGGGCGCGCAGCGCGCGCCGCTGCCGCTCCACCAGCGCCGCCGCGCCGCGCCTCTGGCCGACGGGGGCGAGGGGCAACGCCGCGTGCTGCTGATGAGGACCCTGCTGGTGGTGATGATGGTGGTGGTCACGTGGTTCCTCGTCCTCCTGCCGCTCATCCTGGGTCGTGGCTTCCTCCCCGTGTAGCTGCCGCTGATGATGATGGTCACGTGGTTCTTCCTCCTGCTCATCCTCATTTGCAACTTGTCGCTGCTGCTGATTTGGAACTTGTTGCTGATTTGGAACTTGCTGCTGCTGCTGCTGATTTGGAACTTGCTGCTGCTGATTTGGAACTTGTTGCTGCTGATTTGTAACTTGTTGCTGATTTGGAACTTGTTGCTGCTGCTGCTGATTTGGAACTTGCTGCTGCTGATTTGGAACTTGCTGCTGCTTATTTGGAACTTGTTGCTGCTGTTGCTGATTTGGAACTTGCTGCTGCTGCTGATTTGGAACTGGTTGCTGCTGTTGCTGATTTGGAACTTGCTGCTGCTGATTTGGAACTTGCTGCTGCTGATTTGGAACTTGCTGCTGCTGATTTGGAACTTGTTGCTGCTGTTGCTGATTTGGAACTTGCTGCTGCTGATTTGGAACTTGTTGCTGCTGTTGCTGATTTGGAACTTGCTGCTGCTGCTGATTTGGAACTGGTTGCTGCTGTTGCTGATTTGGAACTTGCTGCTGCTGATTTGGAACTTGCTGCTGCTGATTTGGAACTTGCTGTTGCTGCTGCTGTGGTGCTGGCTGATTTACCACCTGTTGTTGATTCAGCTGCTGATCCTTCTGCTGCTGCTGATCCTTCTGCTGCTGCTGATCCTTCTGCTGCTGCTGATTCTGCTGCTGCTGATTCTGCTGCTGATTCTGTTGTCTCGCCAAGGGGGTCCCGTCCAGGCGATCCTGGGGGGGGGGGAGGGGCGAGGCACGGACCCCGTTAGCCACTGCCCTCCTCGCCCCCCCCCCGCTCCCCTACAGCCCCACCCCCAATCACCCACCCCACCCACCACCCACCCACCACCCCACCCACCACCCCACCCACCCCACCCCACACACCACTCCCACCCAACACCACCGCCGGCCTTAATGGGTGCTCGCTAACAGCGCTTGTCCCTCCTGTCTGTCAAAGCTATACGGAGGATCTTTGTCTTTGTGTGTGGTGTGTGTGCGGTGTGTGTGGTGTGTGTGGTGTGTGTGTGGTGTGTGTGGTGTGTGTGTGTGGTGTGTGTGGTGTGTGTGTGGTGTGTGTGCGGTGTGTGTGCGGTGTGTGTGTGGTGTGTGTGTGGTGTGTGTGGTGTGTGCGGTGTGTGTGTGGTGTGTGTGGTGTGTGTGGTGTGTGTGTGGCGTGTGTGTGTGGTGTGTGTGTGATGTGTGCGGTGTGTGTGGTGTGTGCAGTGTGTGTGCGGTGTGTGTGTGGTGTGTGTGTATGGTGTGTGTGGTGTGTGTGGTGTGTGCGGTGTGTGTGTGATGTGTGTGTGGTGTGTGTGGTGTGTGTGGTGTGTGTGTGGTGTGTGTGTGTGGTGTGTGTGTGTGGTGTGTGGTGTTTGTGTGTGGTGTGTGGTGTTTGTGTGTGGTGTTTGTGTGTGGTGTGGTGTTTGTGTGTGGTGTGGTGTTTGTGTGTGCTGTTCGGAGTTGGCACGGTAGGGGGCGCAGGTGGTGCATTTGTGCGGCCACAACCGATGGCACCGGCCGGGTGAGCCTCGGGACCTCCTCCTGCCAGCCACGAGCCTGGTGTGCCTTTTCGTGTGTGTGTGTAGTGTATGGTGTGTGTAGTGTGTATATATGATGTGTGTGTGTGGTGTGCGTATGGTGTGTATGTATCGTGTGTATATATGATGTGTGTATGTTGTGTGTGTGTATGTATGGTGTGTATATGTGGTGTTGTGTGTGTATGGTGTGTGTAGTGTTATTGCGCGTGTGTGGTGTGCCGTGTGTGGTATGCCGTGTGGTGTGTGTGGGGTGTGTAAACCACTCGGCACACACACCCCACACACCACACACACCACATACACCACATACACCACACATACCACACACACCACATACACCACACACACCACATACAACAAACACCACATACACACCACACACACCACACACACCACACACACCACATACACCACATACACCACACACACACTACACACACACACCACATACACACTACACACACCCCACACACACACTACACACACCCCACACCTCACAACAACACCACCACACACACACCACATACACCACGCACACCACATACACCACACACACACACACCACATACACACCACACACACACTACACACACCCCACAAGAACACCACCACACATACCACATACACCACACACGCCACACACACCACATACACCACACACGCACTACACACACACACCACATACACACTACACACACCCCACACACACACTACACACACCCCACAACAACACCACCACACACACCACATACACCACATACACCACGCACACCACATACACCACGCACACCACATACATCACACACTACACACACACACCACATACACACCACACACACACTACACACACCCCACACCCCACAAGAACACCACCACACATACCACATACACCACACACGCCACACACACCACATACACCACACACGCCACACACACCACATACACCACACACGCCACATACACCACACACACCACATACACCACACGCACACTACACACACACACCACATACACCACACACCAAATACACCACATACACCACACACACACTACACACACACACACCACATACACTCCACACACACCACCACACACACCACCGCCACATACTACCACACACACCACAACAACACCACCACACACCCCAACAACACCACCACCACACACACCACCACACACACCACAACAACACCACCACCACACACCACAACAACACCACCACCACACACACTACACACACACAACAACACCACCACACACACACTACACACACCACAACAACACCACCACACATACCACAACAACACCACCACACACACTATACACACCACCATACACACCACACACACCACAACAACACCACACACACACTATACACCACAACAACACCACCACACACCCCACAACACCACCACCACACACCACCACACACCACCACACACACCACACACCACCACACACCCTCGATCCGGCCGAACAAAAGCTGTTTCGGCATGCGGTGGCTGGGCATGCGGGCTACATGACCCAGCCAACGCAGCCTTACCCGCCGGAGGGGCTCACCGATGGGACCGTGCTCAGATCTTTCAAGGATTTGTGAGCTCCTCACACAATCCAGCCTGGTTAAACCCAGGATGGGTCGTAGGCAGGCCAGCCTAAATGTTTCCACCACACACCACCACACACACCACACACCACCACACACATCACACACCACCACACACCACCACACACACCACACACCATCACACATCACACACATCACACACCACCATACACACCACACACATCACACACCACCACCACACACACCACCACACACACCACACACCACCACACACATCACACACCACCACACACATCACACACACCACCACACACACCATAACAACACCACCACCACACACACCACCACACACATCACACACCACCACACACACCACACACACTACACACCACCACACACCACCACACACCACCACCACACACACACCACACCACCACACACATCACACATACTACACACCACACACACCACCACACACACCACACACACCCCACACACACCACACACCACCACCACACACATCACACATACTACACACCACACACACCACCACACACCACACACACCACACACACCACACACCACCACACACCACCACCACACACACCACACACCACCACACACATCACACATACTACACACCACACACACCACCACACACACCACACACACCCCACACACATCACACACACCACCACACACATCACACCACACCACCATACACACACCACACACACCACACACATCACACACCACCACACACACCACACACACACCACACACATCACACACACACCACCACACACACCACCACACACACCACACACATCACACACACCACACACCACCACACACACCACACACACCACACACACCACACACACCACCACACACACCACACACACCACCACACACACACCACACACCACACACACACACCACACACACCACACACACACCACACACACACACCACACACACCAGACACAACACACACACCACACACACCACCACACCACACACCACACACACACCACACACCACACACACCACACACACCACACACCACACACACTACCACACCACCACACACCACAAACACACCACACCACCACACACACCACACACCACACACACACCACACAATCCACACACACCACACACTACCACACCACCACACACCACACACCACACACACCACACACACTACCACACCACCACACACCACACACACCACACACCACACACCACACACACCACCACACCACACACACCACACACACCACACACACCACATACTACACACACCACACACCACCACACACCACACACCACACACCACCACACACACCACACACACACCACACACACCACATACTACACACACACCACACACACCACACACCACACACACACCACACACACACCACACACACCACCACACACCATCACACACACCACACACACCACACACACACCACACACACCACACATACTACACACCACACACCACCACACACACACCACACACCACACACACCACCACACACACCACACACACCACACACACACCACACACACACACCACACACACCACACACACACCACACACACACACCACACACACACACCACACACACCACACACACATCACCACACACACACACCACACACACCACCACACACACACACCACACACCACACACACCACACACACCACACACACTACCACACCACCACACACCACACACACACCACACACACCACACACCCCACACACCACACACCACACACCACACACACCACACACACCACACACCACACATACTACACACACACCACACACACCACACACACCACACCACACACACCACACGCGATGGAGCGAGTGTCTGCGAGACTTTAATTGGAAAGCAATCGGCGGGCGTGCGTCACAATCGGGGGGGGGTGGGGCCGCGTCACAATCAGCGTTCGGAAATATTCCTTGAGTGCAAAAAACTGGGAAGTCGAAACACAACACAGGTAGACAGGTAGACGAGTAGACAGGTAGACAGGTAGACGGGTAGACAGGTAGACAGGTAGACGAGTAGACAGATAGACAGGTAGACAGGTAGACAGGTAGACGAGTAGACAGGTAGACGAGTAGACAGGTAGACAGGTAGAAGAGTAGACAGGTAGACGAGTAGACAGGGAGACGAGTAGACAGGTAGACAGGTAGACGAGTAGACAGGTAGACGAGTAGACAGGTAGACAGGTAGACGAGTAGACAGGTAGACGAGTAGACATGTAGACGAGTAGACAGGTAGACGAGTAGACAGGTAGACAGTAGACGGGTAGACAGGTAGACGAGTAGACAGGTAGACGAGTAGACAGGTAGACGAGTAGACAGGTAGATGAGTAGACGAGTAGACAGGTAGACGAGTAGACAGGTAGACAGGTAGACAGGTAGACGAGTAGACAGGTAGACAGGTAGACGAGTAGACAGGTAGACGAGTAGACAGGTAGACAGGTAGACGAGTAGACAGGTAGACAGGTAGACAGGTAGATGAGTAGACAGGTAGACGAGCAGACAGGTAGACAGGTAGACGAGTAGACAGGTAGACAGGTAGACGGGTAGACGAGTAGACGAG